ATGCTTCTGTAACTGCCAAGTTTCTCCTGCAGGGGGATGATGGGGTGTTATGTCTTGTAGCCTTGCCTAATTAGATTTCCCGTGTGAACTCAACTTGTGTTTATGAATTGTGCTGTTGTGGTTCTCAGGCTACTTCGCGCCTTTTCTAATCAGCACCCTTACGAGGGAAATGTACCCATTGGGTTAACCAAGTTTGAAATTCCTATATTACGTTGCCCCTGTGTATTGTCGTTATTCTAAACAATCTCTGTATGTTCATGATCAACCATGCTTTGGAAATAAATCTTACTTCTCTGGAACGTGGGTTTGTTATCCTGACTTGGGATCTGACACTACCGGACTCCTGAGAACCCATGAGCCGGAAATGGGAAACGGTAGAAGCTACCTGCAGGTGGGTAAACTGAATGCAAAAAGGGTAATCTATGCAGCCATATGGTCATGTCAACATAGCAACTTATTGTGTCAAAGCAGTTGAGAAAGGAACGGATTCATAGATTTACTTTTGCCACTGGAACAGTTCAGGGAGCCCAGTTTTAGCTGAAGCAAACCCTGGATGCTGGAAAAGCTCTGAAGCAGCAGAGAAAAATAGATGCAGTTTTGCACCTTTCAAGAAGTCCCCTAACAAAATTTAGCCTGCTAAAGGGGATATTTATTCAGCAACTGGTCATGCTATGGCAAAAAATTGTCAACATGGTTCCAAACTATGTGTACAACAAATTTAGTCATTTATTTATGTACAACAAATTCAGATAGGCTGTTTCAGGACAGATTAAAAATAAAGTCGTTTTATGTACCTTTCATTTGATGACAGGACATGTCTATCTGTTGTTGTCAGCTGTATCCAAGGAAACGTAGAAAATTTCAAACACTTCACTCCATGCTTCACTAGAAAAAGAAAAACCACTTTCGATGTGCATCATTACGGACAATATAGAGAAAATGAACATTCATTCAATGCTTCCGAAAGATGACAGGTACACTGGTGATCAGATTTCAACCTGCCATAAAGTTTTTTTTACTAGTTAACATCCAGAAATCAATAATAATGACACCGCTTGATTTCCAAGTAGGCTTACATATGAACTTGATTTTCTGAACAGGGGGAAAAAAAGATACTGAAAATGTAACATATGAGTAGGTTTCCTAAGACGCCAAATGAGCAGCATAAGAAATGTTAATTTAAATCCTGTTGTGAAATAAAATTTGTCATTAAATTTTCACAGCCAGTGCATACATGGGATAATTTGACAACAATGTAACAAAGTGCTTCCCTTTTATTGGTTTATCACAGTTTTGATACTGTACTGATATTCAGCCTTTACCTCCTCTTCTTTCTGTTAGCCCCTCGTGCTTCCCTTTTATTGGATAGGGGTTTGCTGATATTCAGACTTTACCTCCTCTTCTTTCTGTTAGCCCCTTTTGACCCCATTTCCTCATGCCTACTCATCAAAGCTGCTCCACCTACCCTTCCTTCTCTTATTCTTTCTCAGCTGCCTATCCTTCACCCACCTTTCAGCCACTTCACTCCTAAGCCCCCTGCTCTTACCTTAGCTGCACTCCTTCCCATTGTCTTTTTGAGTCATCAGCCAGCCTTATCATGCTACATTTATCCCCTACAACTGTGTAACATTTTAACCCCAGACATTTTAACCTGCCCTGGTCTAGTGTTCTTGTACATGTATTGTGTGCTTGCATGCACATCAGCATGTTTGCTCTTTGTTGTGCCAATACCCCTGGTTAAAATCCAGCTTCCCACATTACCAGTGCCTTGGGGAATCCTGGTAAAGGCTGCCTCTGAGCAACTACAAAGGGCAGAGCTTTCCAATTACTTCTGCCTGTCCCAAGTGCATACATATGAATGTGAGTTCTAAGGCATCTTGGGTAGGAGTCTGCTTTCTTAAACCGGAAAAGACTTTATCACTACAGATTTAAGCTTGAGCACAGACACAGCAAACAGCTATCAAGCCCTAGTGGTTACAGATCTAAGGGGGGAAAACATATGTCTAAGCTAAGTTACAATGCAGAACAAGTACCTCTGAGAACCCCAACTGGCTGTCATGGAATAAATGCACCTCAGGACCACCCTACTGCTCCCAGCAGAGGAATGTAGCTCCCAGCATTTAATCACAGCATTTGAACAAAGAACTAAAAGATTATTCACCTTTTAAATCTTACTGCCTTTGTTGGCAGGAACATCTCCCAACTCAGATTTAGGGGACTTGCCCCACTTGAGAATACACAGCCCCATCTCCCTCCAATCATGCTGGATCTCACCTGTAACACATCTCCATACCCATATCACGTTTTATAACAGCTATCCCTCCTGTCTCTCTAACAGATGTGCAAATAGCTATCTTCTGGTAGAAACCCATCTCCTGCTCTCCCTGACATTTTGGTGCATTTTATTGCTGTCTACCATTAGGGGCTGCGGTGGCTCAAGTGGTTAAGATGCTGAACTGCAGACCGGAAGGTCGGTAGTTCGGCAGTTCAAGACCCGAGTGCTGCGTGATGGAGTGAGTTCCCGTCTCTGGTCCCAGCTCTTGCCAACCTAGCAGTTCGAAAGCAAGAAACAGCAAATAGATAAATAGGTACCACTTTGGTGGGAAGGTAACAGCGTTCCGTGTGCCTCGGTATCTAGTCATGCCGGCCACATGACCACGGAAATGTTTTTTTACAGTGCTGGCTCTTCGGCTTGGAAACGGAGATGAGCACCGCAACCCTAGAGTCACATTGGACTGGCTTTACCCTTTACCCTTTACCATTAGAAAATTAACCTTTACCCTTTACCATTAGAAAATAAATGGCTGTCAGGGGAATCTCAGGAATTCCCCTCTGCAATGGGGCAAACCTTATATCTCTGAACCACAACCAGACAACCAATAACTTTCCGATTCATCACCTAAATAATAATTGATATTTGTGATCCTAAAAACTAATAAACATTCCATCTCGTCCATCCAGCTCAGCCAATGAATGTTAAAGCTTTCACTACCACAAGCGCAATGCAATACAATACAAGGAGATCGAAACACTGGTACTTACTTGAAGGTTTCTTCTCTTCAATGGGGCAAAGTCATCCAAGCTGGTTAGGTCATGCTTCTGCTCGCTCAGGTAGGGCTATGCAAATTTTGTGTGGACCCCTATTAGAGAGATTGGAGGCTGACCCTCCAGTCGTGTCCAAGCCCTGCTGGATATGTTCTCCTTACTTTCCTTGCTGTGATTGAATTCCTTGATGCTCTTTTTCTCTCTTTTCTTTCCCCCCCTTTTTTTGGGGGGAAAGGATGGGAAGTGGGTGACTCTTTTTGTAGCAGGAACTCCTTTGCATATTAGGCGGCACACCCCTAATGTAGCCAATCCTCCAAGAACTTACAGTAGCCCCTGTAAGAAGAGCTCTGTAAACTCTTGGAGGATTGGCTACATGAGGGGTGTGTCGCCTAATATGCAAAGGAGTTCCTGCTACAAAAAGAGCCCTGACACCCACTGAAGAGAAGAGACCTTCAGGTAAATGCCAATGTTTCATTCCCTCTCAGTGGGGAAAGTCATCCAATCTGGTTAGCTTTACCCAGCTGGACTTCTGGGTGGGGTCCTTCCACAATCTAAGGTTCCACCACTTGCTGAAGGACCCTCCTGCCAAAGGCTGCTTCTGCTGAGGCTGTCTGGTCAATCCTATAATGTTTAACAAAGGTTGAAAAGGATGCCCACGTGGTTGCACTTGTGGAGAAAGATCAGTGGCCACCGTGGCTCTAGTTGACTGTGCGGTAATCCTGCTGGGCAGTGACAAGCCCTGTGTCTTGTATGCTTTGAATATGCACTGCTTCACCCAGAAGGAAGGGGTGTTGAAAGACCTTAGTTAGATTGAGGTGACGAAAGAGGAGGTCCTACGACTGATGGACAAATTAAAAACTGATAAATCACCAGGCCCGGAACGCAGATGTGAACTTGCCAGGATCTCCTGACAAAAATATGCAGTCTATCATTAAAATCCACCTCCGTTCCTGAGGACTGGAAGGTAACTAATGTAACCCCCACCTTTAGAAAAGCTTCCAGAGGAGATCCAAGAAATTACAGGCTGGTCAGTCTAACGTTGATACCAAGTAGTTGATGGAATCCTTTATTAAAGACAGAATCATTGATGAACAAAAGCTACTGAGGAAGAATCAGCATGGATTCTGTAAGCTTGTCCCCATGCTGCCCCATGGTCCTGGCCAGGTAAGATTGGGTGTTGGTCTGGCCGTGTTTCTTCAGGCCCCATCTGCGGGGGAGGGTATCTTACCAGGAGGGCCCTCTGGCCCAACTTCGGTCACAGGGCTCTGCCGCATGCTGTGAGGTCGTGCCAAGATTTGAGGCTGTTGGGCTGAACAGGGTGGCCCATTTTGGCACGCTCATTCCCTCCCTGCTCAGTGTGAGTAGGAGGCTGTAACCCAAAGCTTCAGGTTGTTCTCCTTGGGCCTTGCTGCTTCCAGAGAGATCTGTGAGGCCACCTCTCCGTCACCCGAAGCTTCCAGCTGGGGGGGGGGCTCTCCCTGGCTTCCTTCTTCTTCCTGGCTGTGGTGATTGAATTTTTTGGCTTCTGCCACTGCGGAAGCTCCTCCGCCTGGATCCTGGTCCAGTTCCATTGTGCTTCAGCACCTACAGGCTGAGGCGTTCCAGGTAAAACCTGGGGGGGGGGAGTTTTTTAGGATTTCTGAAGTCTGTTGTGGAGCAGAGCTCAAGCCTCCTACCTGAGCAGTAGAGCTATTCAAACTTGAGGGTAAGCCTACGATCTCTCCAGTGGAGTCCACACAAAATTTGTATAGCCCTACCTGAACAAACAGAAGCCTGACCTACACAGCCTGAATGACTTCCTTCAGTGAAGAAGAATTATCTTTCCAGCAAGAAATACCAAAGATTTCAGTCAATTCATTAATGCCCTGAAATCCGCTTTTTTATTCTACACAGATTTTCAGCAAGTAATAAATGTGTCACTTGTCAGTCTTGCTCAATAACACAGATATTTGTAATTTGAAATTTTATAATATTGTATTTATTGTATTTTAAACTGTTGTACACCGCCTTGAGCCTGCCTGTGCAGGCAAGGCGGGATATAAATCGAAATAAATAAATAATGCATAAATAAATAAATATAGTTGCAAAAATTCTGTGACTCATATACTGACTTATAGAACAAGTATTACTATTACCTACCAGAACATTGTTTTGGAGGTGTTTCTCGTAAATCACTTCTTCCTTCGTGAAAATACCCAGCATGAGACTCTTGGGAAAATACTTAAGAATTAAAAAGAGAGAGTAAGCACACCACCCCCTGTATTTGGCACAAAGTGGCTAGTTTAGATCTAAACAGCCAAGTGTAGACTGCTGCTATACTAGTAAGCCTAGAGGACCCTCCAATGTGTACATTCCTTTCTCCCTCCCCTGCAGCAGTTAGGCTTTCCCCACACCATCAATTAGCTGCTTCTGATTATTCCTTTAACTTTTTCTCAAAATATATTGTAGAAGTGGGGGGCCTGCATGTGAGAATATAATTCCCCTTACACACACACACACTATTTCCACCATCCTTTCTCCTGCTTCCTTCCGTCCTTCCCACCCACCAGCCACCCACCTTTATTTGTTCCCCTGTCTCCAGCTTTCCCTCCCCTCCCCTGGCAGCCTGTACCCAGGAAAACTGGAGTCCAGAAGTACACCACTGCACACGTGGGCCACCGGCCACCCTCCATCTTCAGCTATATTTACTATTTACTTCATCTACACCATGCTTTTGTCCACAATGGAGACAAAAACCATTTTATTCTCACAACAACCCTGTGGGTAAGAGTAGGGTGAGAATGTGTTGTCTAGCCCAAAGTCACTCAGCACACTCCCACATCAGAGTGGTGATGCGAATCTGGGTCTCCCAGATTCTAGTCTGAAACTCTTAACCGTTACACTACACTATGGGGTGGCTCCTGTTCAATAGTAGAAAGCAGATGGGCCTGGGTGAGTCATGCACATTGGGAGGTAAAAAGTTGCCCAGTGTTTGCAGGTGAGCCTGGTCCTTCCTCAAACCCATGGAAAGGGCCCTGGCCTCTCTCCCTGCCTTTTCTTGAGAGAAAACAAGGCTTAATAGCTGGGCATACTGTTGCTTAGCAACACCCACTGAGGGTATTAATTTCTTAAAGCTGCAGGCACCTCTTATATTAATTGTGGGAGTTAACATCCCATTGTGTGTTTTTTTTAGATTTCAGATTTAGATTTTAGATTTAGATTTTTTTAGATTTCTGCAAATGTGGGACTTTTTTAGGTTTGTAGAAAGGGCTCTCTTGTTTGTCCCCAACTCCAGTCTCCAGTTTTAAATATCCATACATTTGGTTATGTCGAGAACTGAATATATTGATGCTGCTTTTTTGTATCACTGTTATTGTTTTAACTTTTGGTTGTAAACAACCTCCACAATATTTTGAAAGAGTGAGAGGATTAAAACAATATACAACCAGTAAGCCTGATTTTGTCAGACAATTTCTATTTAACGTGGGCTACAAAAAAATTTCACATACGAGCAGGTGTTAAAAATATGAACAGTTTTAAAAGCTGCCATATCTGGCTTGATTAAACTGTGCAGTTTCCTATGCAACAATTTACCAGGAGTAGCCATCTGGTGCAAAGTCTGATCTTGATCCGCCATTGCCTGGTAATCAGAACAGACATCAGAAGGGAGCTGGAACAGTCCATCCAGAATCCCATCAATCACAGTCTGTAGATCTGGGTCCACACTTCGACGAAGTTGGGAGAAGAACTCCACTGCCCCAATCCCAACCAACTGCTGCACAGCAGATGGGTGCTAAATTGGAAACACAATACAGACTTGAAATTAGTCTTGATTTGAATAGATCAGAGCTTTTAGAACAAGAAAAAAAACATTCATCCTTATAAATAGTGTCATTTGCTACTGCAGATTCCAAGTTGTTGTTTGTTTTTTAAAATTTAGGAGGACTTATCTTGATATACTTGAAGATGAAGTATCCTGCAAACGCACAGGGACCCATCCCCAAGATAAAAGCAATGTAACCTTCTAGTTATTTCGCTGTCTGGGTTCCAAAGTATATTGGCCAAAGTACGATCAAAGCTGTGCAGAACATATCTAGCCACAAGACTTAAAAGGGCCCCATCTCTCCGCCCTTGATTACCCTCAGCTCAGCCCACCCCACAGGTCAGGCTGATGTGGTGGCTCGGGCTACTATTCCTCTCCTCCCAAGCAAAATGACAGGGAGAAGTATCCCTGTGACATTTTCCATGCCCCCCATCTCATTGCTTTTCCTACACCCCCTCCCCATTGTTACATCCACTCTCCCCAACTGTCTGTCTTCATCCCCAGAGATCTGAGGGGAACGTTGCCAGTGGCCCTTATCCTTCACTTTCCTCTGTTTTCCTCTAACAAACTTGAATGGAGAATTTCACTTCCTCTCCTAACTCCAGCCCAACTGTGCTTGTCTGCTATTCAGCACTTTGTTCCCTGTTTCCCTCCTCTGTGCAGCACTGCAAGATGTATTGGGGGAGCTTCTGTCCTCCCACTCTTTTCTGCAGTACCACCTCTGCTTATCTGCTGAAGCAGAAGTTCCTCGTTCTTCCAGCATCTCCCACATGCAAGGAGGAGGATGCATGCCATGGGACCAGGAAAGGAGAGTTGTCTGCAGGAATAATTCCCCTCCACTTCATTTTTTTAAAGTTTTCATATTTTTCTGCAAATATGAGGGAGGTTCCCCAAGTTTAAAGAAAAATACCTTCTCTCTACACTACTCCATCTGCGGATTTAAGTATCTGCAGATGGGCTCATGTTGAAAATTAGATATATTGATTTTTTAAAGGTAGGCTGGGATGTTAAGATGTTTGCTATCTTTAATTATACTCAAAAACAAGTACCACCACAGAAATCCATACCTTTACTAAGATGCTCACTAAATTAAGTACTTCTTCCTTCATTGGTACTACAGGAAAGTTGAACCATTCCAGAAGACTCAGAAATAGCAGCTTTTCTTGAACCAAATCAACATAAGTAATCAAATTATGATCTAATTTACATAAAATACTCTTAAGAGCTCGTTCCCGAATCTCAGCCAGCTGATGTCCTGTTCAAAAAGCAAAATAAAAATGGAAGACATTTTAAATTAATGTGTTGGTTTATGGAGGTCTCTATATTTTCATAAACACAGGAAATTCAGCACTGAAAGAAAATTCCTAGGGATACGTGTAATTAATCTACCATCTATTCAAGCTTCAATGTGGGGTAGTGATACTCTTTGGTTCAGGATGGTCTGGTACTCCCATCTCTTTAAGGACTTGCCACAGTTTGTTGTGATCCACACAATCAAAGTTTCTCAGGAGACGGAGACTTCTGGTTTTATGGCGCTGCGGCATAGTCAGGTCTCGGACGAGCTCCGAGCCGACCGGCTCCCCACGTCTTTTTGGGGCTCTTCTGTTTCGGCAGTTGGGCACCGCTTCCACTCCTGGAGGAAGAGGAAGTTGTAGGGGGCTCGCCGCCCCCCCCCCCGCTGATAGCAAATCGCGGGGGGTGATGCCGGTTGCCCCGAAGCAGAAGGCGAGGAGGAGGAACGCGGAAACGCGCTCACAGCGGCGACCGAACCACTTTTAAAACCTTTTTTT